AAAGAAAAATCACTTAAAAATAATAAACATACTTATGCCACAAATAATCTATATTAGGATCTGACAATTTTAAATCCTATATATTTGACATTTCTTCTTTTCATTCTAGCATTTCTTTTTTAAACTCTACATTGACCATCTCACAATATTTTCTCAAAAATTTCTCCGGTTCTCGAAGTAAGTCATCAGCATCTACTAAAACAATCTCCTTTCCAGTTATATTCTTAATTAAATCATAAAGAAACCTTGATTCTTTTAGCCAAACTTTTTCAGGAAAAAAAATGTTATACCTTTCAGAATTAGGTACGCAGGCATTATCCCAAGCTTCATATGTAGAATTCGCAGCTTTATAAAAAGACTTTACTGATTTTTCTGGATTTCTAATTATGAATGTATGTTTAAATTTTGAAAGAATTTCCTTGGATCCTAATAGATTTCCTTCTAGCTTTCTATATAAAAAATTAGATGTATGATCCTTCGCAAAAACTCTTAAGGTATGTGTTTTATCATCATTATAGTAATGAGGGCAAGAATTTCATTAAGAGTAGGCAAGAAATGATATACAAAAGTAATCAGATCAGTAGGTTTAGGTAACAGAATTTGATTCAAAAAATCAAAGTTTTTGGTTACATAAGCACAACTAATTAAATTAATTGGTTCATGGATAACATGAAATTCTTGAGGACGTTAAAGAAATGGTTGTTCAAAAACCGTAGAGAGAGATCTTGGATGTGACCAAAGAAAAATGGGTCTTTGATCCACCATAAATGAGCAAATTCAATCTTATCTTCCTTTATTAAGTTGTGTAATAAATTAACACTAAGAGACTCTTAGTAAATTAGAATAATCTAAAATAGGAATATAGAAGTTGGACAGTGCAGATTTGCCTGAATTTATATTTAATTTGTTTAATTTTTAATTTTGCCCGAAACTAACTTAATTTGCTTGAAATTATATCTTAAAATAGTCAACAATTCAAAAATTGTTTATGGTGTTTTACACATCTATGTATATATTATTACAAAACTATCTAATTAATCAGTTAAGTAAAAATGTTCTAAACTATGCCCAAACTCTAAAATATTAATCCGAAAGGTAAAAAAATTTGTGTTAAAAATTTTTTTAAAAAAATATAAGAAATATAATAAAAAAATATAATAGGCGTGACTATGCATTTGTACAAATAAAAAATTTTGCAATGAGATAAGGATATAATTTTTGAATTTTTGAAATTGAGTTTGTGATAGATGTTTCTTAAAAAAAAATAATAAATAAATAATCGAATTATTTTTAATAACTATTAAAAATTATTTATGTAATACTAACCACTACAGGCTTCCGTGCAAGGCTAGATCAAGCTTCCTGGATTAAACAACGAAGAAGGATGTTGGCTATAGTTAAACAAAACCTTTTTTGGGAGATGAAAAATGAAACCTAAACATTGTAATCCTAGTAACGATAAAAATTAATAAGATAAAATATCTATTTTCAGGGTAAAAATATATATAAAATATACTTCTCGCAATTTCAAATATAGGTAGGCACTTTGCAAGAACGCCACGCTGGAAAAATTGTATCTTAATAGTAATCATCTTGGAACAGAGAGAGGAAAAGCATTAGTAGATGCATTTGCAAGAACATCTTGCATCTTGATAGTGATCATCTTGAAACAGAAGGAGAAAAGACATTAGCAGATGTACTTCTTAAGAATACTATGCTGAAAAAGTTGTATCTTCATAATAATGGTCTTGAAGGAGGAAATGTATTAGAAAAAGCACTTCAAAAGAATACCACATTAATTTATCTTGATCTAAGAAATAATAATATGGCCTTTATAAGATCAAAGAATTCAAAAATAGAAATTTTACAATAAAAGCACAATATTAATTTTGCCTGAATTTATATTTTAATTTTATATAATTTTACTCTGAATTCTGTTTGAAGTAGGGCCATATAAAATTTTTATATTGGTTTTCACTAAAAAATTTTTATTTATAATTTAAATCTGCGCAGGTATTTTATATAATAAAATTTTATAAAATTTAAAATTTTATAATTGAAATTTTACTGTATGACCGGCAGGTATTCTTTCATTGTAAAATTATAAAATTTAAATTTTGTATGATAATAAAGGCTAGCCAAATTGTCGTACCATCAATGGATGAAAAAGATATTTTGTAATTAAAAAAAAAAATAAATAAATAAAATTATGTATCTCTTTAAAGAAAAATTGTTGTATTAAAATTAATTCGTCTAAACTAATAAATATCACCAAAATATCTTTGTAATATCACATGATTTTAACTTACATCACCGATACAGCATACACACTTATCTTCATTATCAACATAGCAAATTTTGTGAATTTCAATATTCATGAATAAGAAATCAAAATCCTATTTCGTTCTTATCGCCTTTCGATTGGTTAAAATTAGGGATTGGAACAAATAAAATTCTCAATTATTAGAATTTAATATTATTTCTACAGAATCAAAAATTTTAAATGATTTTATAAAATTATAATACAATAATTAATAGAAAATTAAACCCCTAAAATTAAACATAGAAAAAAATTGAAATTCTAATTTAACAAAATCTAGTTCTATATTTAACAATACATTCATTAATATAATAACATGGAGTTTCTTATAAAAATTTAATTGGGATTTATAAAATCTTTCTTTCACCCAGAGTTTATTATTACGAAGGACTTTGTCTAATGAATTTCAATAATTTTGTTTCGATTAAAGAATCTTGTATTTTACCTAATATTGAGTTTAATAATGGAATGACTGTTTTTATTCCAGTAGGCTATTCTTCAATTCTTATTCGTGAAGATGATACGAAAAAATTAAAAACAATCATTGAAATTCCAGAACTAAATATATGTGTTCTAGCATTGATCCTTAATAATATTAAACATCCACAAAATGCTTTTTTATTATTTCGAAATAAAGTAAAGGATAAAATAAAATATAAATTAATCAAAGATAATCCAAATATACGTGTTGACAATCGTCAAATTTCAAAAATTGCTGGAAAAAATAGAAAACACTAACAGAACTTGAAAAAGCACCGTATAAGTTAAAATCTAAAAATCAAAGAATGAAATACAAATCCAAAAATTTAAAATACAAATATAATACAAGAAAACAAAATTTACTTAAAAGTCTTTCAGTACTCTTTTAATCTATTATATGAGAGCATTGTTAATAATGAGTACTAATGCTGATATTAAAAATCGTATATAAAAGTTAGCATGAAAACTTGCTTTGTATTTTCTCGATTGTGAAATGTACTGTATATACTATTCATGAAACCTTGATAAAAGCTTGAGTAAAATATTGCATAGCATATTAGAAAATTAGAAATAATAGATATAAAAAAATATTTTTGAATTATTAAATATCACGAAATTGCATATGTTATTTTTTATTTTTATTTTTTTCATAATTTAACTTTTATCAAACAAATTTTAAAAAAAATTAAAGAACATGTTCATGTCAGTATTATCTAAAAAAATGTATTTATTCGTATCCTGTATATGGTAATAAATTATACGTTAACATATTATTGATTGAACTTAAATTTATATTTATTATAGATAAAATTGTCTAAGTCAGTATTCTTAAGATTATTTGTAGCCATATAAGGCAAAAACTTAACATCTAATAAAAGATACGAGGCAAGACCTCACTTTAACACCAAAAAAAAAAATTTTATATTTATTATTGTTTTGAAAACTAATAAATTAGATACTGTATATGATTGTCAATTGGTAGTAAATTTTTATTAAAATTGCTATTGAAAACTAATAAATAAAAATTATTCATTGAATTTAATATGAAAACACAAAATTAATTAACAATACGAAAATTACTTTAAAAAAATGAGAATGTTCACAAAAATAATCAAAATGAGTAATATTATTCAAGATAAGCCATCTTTGATAGAATCTTTTAAAAAAATTATTTTTTTTTCTAAAAGCAACATATTATTGTTGGCACTTCCTTTTGGATTTATTGCACATTTTTTTAACTGGAATGAAATCTTAATTTTTGTAATAAACTTTTTTGCAATTATACCATTAGCCCAATTACTTGGATTTGCGACAGAACAACTTTCATGTGGAGTTGGACAAGTATTGAAATTTATTATTTTCATTAGATGTCCAGAAATCAATTTATAATTAAATTTTTATTACTTTCAATTTAAATTTAATTAAAGATCTTAGCAGCATTATTAAACATGACTTTTGGCAATACCGTAGAATTAATAATATCAATAATAGCTTTGACAAAGGGACAAATTCACGTTGTTCAGGCTTCAGTGCTTGGATCTGTACTCTCAAATATTTTGGTAGTGTTGGGGTCATGTTTTCTCTTTGGTGATATCACCATTCTTAAAGAAGGTCGTTTAGAACAAAATTTTGATTCAACTGCAGCATAAGCAAGTTCAAGTATAATGACTTTAGCATGCATTGCCTTAATAGTATCTGCAGCATTTAGTCTTGCTATTGATGGAAATTCTAATAATATTCTCAGCATGACTGATTCTAGGATCTTGAATTTAAGTTATGGCTCTTCAGTAGTATTATTTGTAATATATATACTTTACTTATATTTTCAGGTACTGTATCTCATATATTTATACGCCATGCCATTGTAAATACAGATCATATAACTAGTCAAATTATTTACATAAATAGTTAAAAACCCATAAAGATTTATTCCAAACCGAAGAAAATGAAGAGCTACAGATAAGCAAGTATTTGGCACTATTTTTGCTAGTTACAGTGATAGTTGTAATAGCATTTTCTGCCGAATTTCTTGTTAGTTCAATTGAAGAAGTTGTCACATCTCATAGTTTAAGCAAAACCTTTGTTGGGTTAGTTTTACTACCCATTATTAGAAATGCTGCTGAGGTATTTTAATTTGAATACACATCGCTGTCTGTTAATATTACTTTTTTTTTTTTTGTTATTAAGGCCGATGTTACGGTGGCTACTGCCTTTATTTGTATTTTTAGTTAATGCATTACATATAACTTGTACAAGGTGAGTGTGCAACCAGCCACACATGCAACTTTTGGTTGCCTA